CACGAAGTTGAATTATTATTGAAAGATTGATCACGAAGTTTGAGTTTCGGACAAATTGACTTTTGGCTAAACTCCCCCCCCCCCCAACACTCTTATCTTTATATAGCAAGTAATTATTTCTTTTTTGAAATGCTAATATTGTAAAACCCAGATAAATATATGAAATCGTTTATAATAGAACTTGTACCAACTATATTTGATGAATAAGTTTATGTTGTATAAGTTTGGGTTGGTGTTGGAAGGATTTGGAATGGATTGGAAATAAAAAATCAGGCGTCCTGGGCAGCATACCGATACTGAGTACCGGTACTGTGAACACCAGAAGCTAAAGTGTACCGGTACGGTCTGCTTTGATTCAAGGCAGGAGTTCCTTCCATTCTTGACCATTGAGGCTAGGGCTTATATGTATATGTATGTTTTCACCCTTATTTATATGTATATGCTATGAAATCATCATTTCTTGTTATTTTTATAAAAATTACCATGTCTTAAACAAAGTTAGGGTTAGATAACCATGAAAACTCTTTTCTTGTCATAAAACCCTATTTTCTAAGAGAAATAGATTCTTCTCTTGATTTTTCCCTTATTCTTGATTTCAAAACTTTAGTGCTTTGTAATGAACAATAAAAATGGATTGTTGATGATCTCTTTCTTATTTTCTTAAATTGTTCTCTTGTAATACAAATTGTGAAATTTGGAGATTTTAAATTTTCTTGTGATTTGAGAAAATGTTTGTTATTGCATCTCTTGTATGGTTGTTGTGATGGACTTGAATTGCATTCGAGTATTGCTGTAGAGTGTTAGAGGTTAGTCTATCCCAGTGAGGGTGAGATGGTTTCCGAACACTTATAGTGGTTTGTTGTTTGTGAGAACGATCACTATTGTTCACATAAGTTCGAGGCTGAGGGATAATATACCTTTCTTGGGAAAGATTCGTCAATGTCATGAGAGACGGTATATGCCCTTCCTAAAAATGTTTGGGATTGTGTGATTATGGTGGGTGAACGAGGAAGAATCATGGTGTAGATTAATGGGGAACAACCAACATACATGAGAATATGTGATGACATTATTGAATGATTATTTGATTTCTATCACTCCGATATGCTTATTCCTTTCATTTAAATTATTGCTATTGAGTTAACTTGAGATCAAATAAATTGTCACTGTTTTATTTCAAGTTATATATGTTATTTTGAAAAGTGAGATCAAACTATTTTATATATTTTTTTGTAAACTTTGTTCGAGTTTGGGAGGATGTTGCTACAGAGCTTATTGCTCACCCCCTACAAACAATATATTTTTCAGATTTTGTACAAGAAGAGGAGCTCAGAGTCGATGAGCCGGTACATTGGAAAGTTCTACTAAATGGGCATGTGGATTCTGAGGTGGATGCTTAGGACTATACTCTCCTACACAATAGACTAGAAAATTCCTTTTGAGACTATGTAAAGTCAAACCTTTTGTTATTCCGCTACAAAGTTCAAATTTGATTCTGTTATACGTAATTGCCATAGTTCAACATATTCTTTTGGATGTAATGGCCATGATGTGGCATATTCTTTTGGAATGATATTGTAGATATTATGTATGAGAATGAAATTAACTTTATTTATGGATCTTATTAGTTGCTCTCGTGATGTAATTGATTTTTAGATTGTAATGTCGTCCAATGTGAATTTTGGGGCGTTACAGGTTAAGTAAAAGAGTTAACTTTAATAAACTAAATATATCAACACTCTGGCAAACTATGACAATATTTTGATGGAAGTAGATTCAAAAAATGTGATATGTTCAATTTTGAAGATGCGGGAGGATTTATCATATATAGAAAACTTGATTGATCAATTTCACAAGTTTGCTTTATATGTTGTGAACTTTTTTGTTTGTCAAGTAAGCATAATTGCAAACTCAGTAGCAAATTATTTAGCTAGGAACGCCATGAAATGTAATGATATTTGTATTTGGAGGTAAGATGTTCTAGATTTCTTGTTTCCCTCCCAATAGAATGATGTATGTGTTCTAAGTTTAATCCATTCTCTAGAATTTTTTACCCAAAAAAAAAATTTTTTAAGTAAATATGATATTTGTCTTCCTATTCAAAATGTTTGTGTTGCCCATATTAAAAGTTGTTAATTTTTCAAGGAGAATAAAAGGAATGCTTTTTGATTGAGGGAGAGGGGAAAGATGATAAACAAGATAGAGGATTTCATAGCCCACCAGGGAGGATAAATTCGACAAAGTTGATGACCCCAACAGTTGTTGAGACTTGATTTTCTATTATTTGATTGAATAATTGATTTATTTTAAATAGTTATGACTATTATAAAAAGTTATTATTTGAATAGTTGTGACAATTAGAAAAGACACTATTTGAAGAGATGTGACAATTGAGAAAAGCCATCTATTTAAAAGGTTATGATTATTAACCAAAAGACACCTTTTTACAAGACTCATGTCTTTTAAGGAAAAGACACCTATTTGGAGGATTGTGATTTTTGGAAAAAGACAACAAGAAGTCTATAAATGGACATAGACTTAAGTTACAAGATACTAGAGTCTTATATAACTCATCTCTCTTCCTTCTCTCTCTCACAGAATAAAAATTGTTCAAAGTGATTTTTTTAAAAGCTCTTCAATATTATTAATTGCAGTTCTTCACCCAAAGACTTTATTGTATCCTGAAAGTGACTTGCCAAGAACCCTCTAGCAAACTCTTAGAGTGGGGAAAAATATCACTTTAAATAAAGCAATCTTATGTGCCGATTCTATTCTATTTTCAATCTGTTCGAAATAATTTCCCAACAACAACAAGAGTAAATATTCATTGTAAGATCATCTCAATGGAGACTCAGACCCTAACCCAAATTTAATTTTAAAAAAGGCATAAAGAGGTTAAATTTGGATTTTAGGATTTTTTTAATCCGAATTTAAATTTGGATTTAAAAAGTGTAAGGATTGAAGATACTCTAATAATGATACCACATATTATTGTCACGTGTTGTTACCATTCAATAATAACTTACAAGTAAATCTCATAAATGCTTCTTATACTATGATCTTTGTTGTAAATTGCCTCCTAAATTTTTAATTGTCCCAATTTACCTCTCAAACTATACAATTAATATTAATCAACTCATTCTGTTAATATTAACTATTAAATGAGACAAATGATCAATTAACAGAATCTATCTCATATAACAATCAATATTAACGGAATTTGTCTTATTTATCGGTTAATCTTGATAGAAGGTGATGATGCACAAAATTAGTTTACACACCACCTATCAATTAAGTAATATAAAATGCAATAAAGTAGAGGGAGAAAGAAGACAAGGTTTATAGTGGTTCGGTCAATATGACCTACGTCCACTTTGAATGGCAAAGGTCGCCAGAATTTTATTTTCTTCGGTGTGGAGAGAGAGCACATGATTACAAGCTTTGAGAGGGAAAGAGAGAATTATCCTCAAATGAGTCTGATGCCCCCCAAGTGTTTGTGGGGTGTACAATTTATAGTGGTTTGGTGTAGTAATTGAATAGCTAGTCTGGCGGTCATAACGGGTTGAAGTCGTTTAATAGTAAATATCTTGGCGACCTCTCCTCTCCTCAACCGGCAATGAAGTTATGGTGCTCTCCAAAGGACTTGGTCAAGGATTAGGGAGGTTGATTCTCTCCAGGCTGCTAGGATGAGGCTCTTGGATGCTCCCTTACTCCAAGTTGGCGAGGAAGAGGCTGTTAGACAACCCTTACTCCAAGGTAGTAGAGGAGGCTCTTGGATGACCCTTATTCTAAGGTGGTAGAGGAGGCTCTTGGGTGACCCTTACTTCAACGTGGTGAAGGAGAGTCTTTGATGACCTTGCATACTCCCTACTAATGTTGCTCCTTGATTCTTGATGAGCTTGTCCGGGTTGACCGCATTGAGCTAGACATACTGGATCTCTTGAAGATGGGCTATAAACTCGAACTGGGCATATCATTTGAGTTAGGCCCTTGGGCTTGGCCCGTCATTTTTCCCCCTAATGCCCTGCGTCTAACGGAACTTAGAAAAGAAGGCATTCAGTTTGAGTTTGAATTTTCGGCTGACTGACACAACTGAAAAAACTTTGGGAGGCCAAAACATCTGTTTATAAAACTTTTTTGGAATTTTAACAGCATCAATCACAAGTTTAAACTATGATTCTTTTAGTGCTCGCCAAGAGCTTTAATTTGATATATTATAAGCCTCATTTGGAGTAACGGAGCAAAAATTACGGTCAAAACTTCGAGCAGAGAGCTAGGCGAGCGGTTTGACTGAGCAGGTAGCTTTCTGGGCAAGCAGGGCACTATTCTGGGTGAGTAGCACTGTTCCGGGTGAGCAGAATTTTTTTTTTTTTAAACTTTGAGAGGCCAACACATATTTCTAGGCCTTTTTTGGACTTTTTTTGCAAAAAAGGGAATGAGTTTTGCTCAGCTCGTCAAGAGCTTCGATTTGGTATATAATAAGTCCTATTTTGAGTTTTGGATCAAGAGTTACAGTCAAAATAGCGTGCAAGGGCCGAGTGCATGGTTTTGGGCAAGCAAACAGCCTCCTGGGCAAGCTGAATTTTTTTTTTTTAAATTTTGGGAGGCCAAAACAGCTATTTCCGAGCCTTTTTTAGAATTTTTATAGCGTCTATCACTGCCATAGGCAATGAGTTTTGCAAGGCTCGCCGAAAACTTCGATTTGATATATAATAAGCTATGTTTAAAGTTTCGAATCAAAAAATTACGGTCAAAATAGCGTGCAGCCCTTTTTAAATCCGAATTTTGAAAACTCCTTTTGATTGTTGACTCTCTCCCTTCTAGTAGACTCCTTTTACCTGTGGGACTCCATTAGCTATGAAAACTTCCTCTTTCATTTTACTTTTTTTTTTTGAAGAGTCCCATTCCATGCAATCATGAGTGAGAAAGAGAGCTCTTCTTAAAATCCTCCAAGAACACATAGGTGAGGCTCTTGAGTTGAAAGCTTTGAACAATGTCAAATGGAGAGGAGCTTTGTGGATCTTGGTGAAGAGCCTAGAGAGGAGGGGGAGGCACTGGGCTCCAGTGCGGAGGCACCATGGGCACCCATTCTGAAGGAGCCTATAGGCAAAGGAATGGGGAGAGAGGAGGCTCCCACTACTAGGCGCGCTAAGGAGCGCGAGGAGGAGGTGTTGGGCACCTAGACTGTGGTGACCCAATTTTGGCAAGCAAGCCAGGCGAGAGAGGGATTGGGCGTCTAGGTTGTAGTGACCCCAATTGGGCGAGCAACCCAAACGAGGGAGGAATTGGGCACTTGGGCTGTGACGACCCCAATTGGGTGAGCAAGCTAGGCGAGCGGGGTTGCTGTGGTAGTGATCCATGTTAGGAGAGCAAGTTGTGCGCCTTGGCAGTCTCGGACGAGTGGGTTGGGTGCCTTGGTAGTCTTGTCAAATGGGAATTCATGGTAGGCCCTCGCGCAATAGTTGGGTGCTGAGGATGCCGAGACCGAGATAGCAACCCATGCCGCAGGGACTGAGATGAGGGGCGCCGGAGTGGGGGCGCCATTAGCGTTAGGCGCTGACTGTGAGGCACTATGGTGCCAAGTGGGATGCCCTATGTGCTGGGTGCTGATGAAGAGGCAACCATGGCGCTGGGCACTACTGGAAAGGCCCCTATGGCGATGGGCACCGCCAGAGAGGAGCCTATTGTATTGGGCGCTATTGGTTGGCGATTTTGTTGATCGCGATGGAGGTGCGCTATTTGGAGGCTTGTTTGCACTAGGTGTTAAGCGTGGGGTGCTATGGCAATGAGGCGCGGGTGCCAGATGGACACAAAAGAATGAGGCCCGATTGTTGACATTCAATTTAGTGTAGTCCCTCGGGTTACAGACGGTCGGAGTTTCAAGAGCCTGACTAGAGATGACAAAAATAATGTTATTCCAAATATTAAAATATCTAACATAATTACTTGGAGAAAGAGGTAGGTTGCTTGCGCGAGAGTAAAGATAGAGTTTGAGAATTGTTCGTGAGAGAGCTACAATTTTTGAGACCGAACTTTTTTGCGACCCATGAGAGAGTCCTTAAGCTTGAGGTATAGGTTGTTTGCTTGAGAGCAAAGCAGATGCCAAGCTTTTGGTAACTCGCGAGAGAGCCACTCAGTAGGAGATAGGGTTGTCTGCTTGAGAGCAGAGTAAAGGCCAAGCTTTTGGCAATTCGCGGGAGAGCTACTCAGCTGGAGATAGGCTGCCTGCTTGAGAGCCGCTCAGCTGGAGATAGGCTTTTAGCGACCCGCGGGAGAGGCGTTAAACTGGAGATAGGCTGACTGTTTGAGAATAATGTAGAGGCCAAGTTTTTTGGCGACCCACGGGAGAGCTGCTTAGCTGGAGATAGGCTGCCTGTGTTGAGAACAATGTAGAGGCCAAGCTTTTGGCACCCCCGAGAGAGCCGTTAAGCTGTAGATATAAGCTGCCTATTTGAGAGCAATGCAGAGGCCAAGCTTTTGGCGACCCATGAGAAAGTCGCTAAGCTGGAGATAGACTGCCTGCTTAAAAGCAGAGCAGAGCAGTGATAGATCAAGCTTGTGGCGGCTGATGAGATGATTCACCTCGCCTGGACTTGTTAATGTCCTCAGCATTCATATATTTTTAAGCTTTTGCTAATAGTTCTAGAATGCTCTTTGGAGGGAGCTTTATCACTGAGAAGAGAAAACTTGATGACCGGAGGCCTCCTAGGAAGGCGATCATGCTAACCTTATCATCAGACTCCTCGACCTGAAGGACCTCCTCGTTAAAATGAGTGAGGTAGCTCCTCAAGCTCTCGTCTTGATCCTGCTTTATATTGAGCAGGTGGGTAACAGGCTTCAGCTGGAGACATCCACCAATGAACTATGTCACAAAGGATCTTCTCAGTTCGGCGAAGGAGCCCATGGAGGCCGGAGTGAGTTTGGCGAACTATTGTTTCGCTGATCCCTTCAAGGTAGTAAGGAGCGCCCCGCACATAATTTTCATCAGGGATGCTTTGTAGTTGTATTAAGGTCTTAAAAGTTTTGAGGTGGTCCAATGGATCCTTCATACCGTCAAAGGTTTCGACGGATGACATCTTGAATTTTTGAGGAAGTAGGTAGTTCGCCACGTCAAGTTTGAAAGGCGTGTTAGTTCTCCTAACAAGGTAGTCCCCAGTCTCAAGTCCTTGCGCCTTCATGGCGTTGAAGACGTCACCCAGTTGATTTTACACCTCTTTTATCTTTTCGTCTCAATGGTTGGGTGCTCCTTTGGAATTATAGTGGAAGTGACTCTCATGCTCCATGCTTTGGTTTTCACCCTTATTCTCTTGGAAATGGGAGAGCAAAAACAGGGGGCTGGAAGAGAAGGTGGAGGTCCTTGATTGTGGGCCCCCTATGTGGGCCGACTAAGGGGAAGGTGGGGAGCCCAAAGGAACTCCAAAGGGAGCGCCCAAATGAGGAACACCTAAGTGTGGAGCTCCTTGATGTCCAGGGTGTGGAGCTTCTCTGACTTGAGGTCCTCCAACCTGTGCTCCTCCTTGTCTAGCGAGCATAAGTTGTAGGATCTACTGGTTTTAGGTCACAAGCTGTTGCATAGTCTCCAACATTTACTGCATATTTGGGATAGGAGCATTTGGGACAAGATTGGTTGGTGGAGGAGCAACTTCTTCCTCTCATGGTGGATTATTCTCAAGTTGATTCGTCGATCTGGTGGTGATTGTCATAGATTCAACAAAGAAAGTGTTTAGAAGTGAGAATTTCGTCATTTCCACAAATGACACCAAACTGATGATGCACAAAATTAGTTCGCACACCATTTGTCAATTATGTAATATAAAATACAATAAAAGTAGAGGGAGAAAGAAGACAAGGTTTATAGTGGTTCAGTCAATATGACCTACGTCCACTTTGAATGGTAAGGGTCACCAGAATTTTATTATCTTCGGTGTGGAGGGAGAGCACAAGATTACAAGCTTTGAGAGAGGAGGGGAGAATTATGCTCAAATGAGTCTGATGCCCTCCAAGTGTTGGTGGGGTGTACAATTTATAGTAGTTTGATGTAGTAATTGAATAGCTAGTCTACCGGTCATAATAGGTTGGAGTCGTTTAATAGTAATTAAATATTTTGGCGACCTCTCCTCTTCTCAACCGATAAGGAAGTTATGGTGCTCTCCAAAGGACTTGGTCAAGGATGAAAGAGGTTGATTCTCTCTAGGCTGCGAGGGTGAGGCTCCTGGATGCTCCCTTACTCAAAAGTTGCAAGGAAGAGGCTCTTGGACAACCCTTACTCCAAGATGGTAGATGAGACTCTTGGATGACCCATTATTCGAAGGTGGTAAAGGAGGTTCTTGAATGACCCTTACTCTAACGTGGTGGAGGAGAATCTTTGATGACCTTGAATACTTCCTGAATATGTTACTTCTTGATGAGCTTGTCTGGGTTGACCGCATTGAACTGAATTTACTGGATCTCTTGAAGATGAATTATAAATTTGGACTGGCCTTATAATTTGAGCTAGGCCCTCAGGTTTAAACCATCATAAGGGATTAATTAAAACAAATTACATTGAGGATAAATTAAGGCTGTTCCACAAAGTAATAATTTAGGGGTATTAATGAAATTTACCTAAACTTTATAAATCGGAAAGTGGGGCCATCATTAGGCGCCAAACTTTACCAACTCTCTCTCTTTATATCTGTCAGCGTGTGGCCATGTGCCTGGGTGTGTGCATCAGTGCATCTGCTAATTTGAGAAAGGAAGCTTTGGGTGTGATCGGCCATGGCGTTTCAGAGAAATCTACCGAGTCGAAGCCTCCAAGCTGCAAAGGCCAAGTGGTTATATAATCTGTCGCTGCGTAGCTTTTCGTCGTCGCCGGTGGCCGGAGCGACTTCCGCCCCGCCTGAGCTGCCTCGGTTTGATTACCAGCCGAAGCCGTACAAAGGACCATTAGCGGACGAGGTCCTTGCCAAGCGCAAAAATTATTTAGGTCCTTCTCTCTTCTATTACTACGAAAAACCTGTAAGTCTCTCTCTCTCTCTCGAAACAGTACGTATGTTTGCCTACAGACATAGTGAGTTGTGTGTTTGAACAAAATTATGAATTTAGATACTTTAGCAATCCCCTTGCTCAATTATGTTAAATTAACTATTCGCTAAGCAACTTTATTGGAATTTATACTCTTGAATAGATTGCTGAACTCCAAGTGCATGTAACTTCCGTTGTTGATTCGAGGAATTGGAATGTTTTAGTGAGATGTTATTACAATAATGTTTCCGAGCTAATAGTTTGGTTGTTTTTCTTTTCATAGATCTTTCAGTTGATCTCAGATTAGGTGATCTCAGATTCAACTACGATTTTTTTGGAATCGATTTGTATACTCTCTTCATGGTCATCAAGTTGTTTCAACTTTTTTTAAAATTGTATGGCAATTAATCTTGTTTTGTGCCTAACCCTTTTAAATCCATTTTTGTTTCAAGTGCTACTTTCACGGGCATGTTCTAACCTGTTCTCTATTATTTGGTGTGTACATTCTACATGACATACGGTTGTTATAGTCCTTATAAAATGTCCCCTTTTCTTATTGTATTGGATAGATTTTTCTTTTATTAAAATTTAGAATTCTATTGCAACAATAAATTTGACAAAGTATCATTGACATTCGGTACGAAGTTCCAACTAATCCCAATTTCCGTCTATTGACTGTTCATTATATTTGCAGCTCAATATTGTGGAAGGGAAGATGCAATATTTATTTGATGACACTGGAAAGCGCTATCTGGATGCATTTGCCGGAGTAGTTACCGTGTCTTGTGGTCATTGTCATCCTGCAGTTTTGGATGCTATAATGGAGCAAAGCAAGCTTCTTCAACATGCTACAACCATATACCTCCACCATGCAATAGCTGATTACGCAGAGGCATTAGCATCTAAGATGCCCAGAAACCTCAAGGTTATTTGAGGAAAAGAATTGTACAAAATTCTGCTCTAGAAGTATGATGCTTATTGTGTATAGAGCATGTCTATCTGTGTTGCACAAAGTTATTTTTGAGTTTGAGCTTCAGCACTGAGATGTCAAAATGTAACACTATATATATTACACAACTATAAAATGCTTTCATATGGGTTATGGGACTATGGGAGGGCAATTATCTATATTGTTTTGTACTGCTTTGTTTGTCTTGCAGCTTCTTTGATTTAGCACAGCTATTAATGTCTGTGTAGCAAATTAGGGTTTTTGTGATGATTGATTTACCTTGAACTTGTCTTGTAAATGCAGGTTGTATACTTTGTAAATTCCGGAACTGAAGCAAATGAATTAGCAATGCTGATGGCAAGGTTACAAAGTGGCAACCTCAATATGATAGCATTGAGAAACTCATATCATGGGGGAAGTTCTAATACACTTGGACTTACGGCTCTTAGCACTTGGAAGTACCCAATACCCCAGGTTTATTTATTCTCAAAAGCTTACAAAATTCATAATTAGAATGTTTGGGTTCCCAGGCATAATTTAATACATATTCTGGTATTAGTTGTGCAAGATTTGGATGCCAAGCATAGTTCTAAGCTGAAAATCAGAATTGTTACTTATGCTCAAATTTTGATTGGTGTATTGGTTGCATTTCATGCGGTTGTGTACTCCCAGAAAGATACTTGTTTCTTGTTTATGTATGAAAAAATTCCCACTATTTATACATATATGTTTTGCGAGTGGTAAGGACTACTACTCCCAAATGTATAAGGACAACTCATATGTAACTTATATATTGTTTTATGAATGACAAACTCCCACTCCTTTATACATATCTTTTGGGAGTGGCATACAGACTACTATTCCGAAATGTACATGCTACATTAATGAATCCCAATGTTAAATGTATTTGCTAGCAGGGGCGGAGCTACATTTGTCCGTGTGGGGGCACTTAACCCCACCCCACTGACTTTTGAGGACACTCCATATATATATATTTATATTTTAAAATTATAGAAACATAAATATGTTAAATTCACTTCATTGCCCCCTTAAGTTATTGGACTTTTGTATAGTAACCCTAGTCCCATTTCAATAAGTTTGTAGTCTACTTACCTCTTAACCTACTAAAACAAAGCTATCATTTTGGGATCTAGTTGAATAGATGTGAAATGTCCTAACTCACATATTGACCAAAGAAAATACCATTATTGTTTAATACACTTCCTCTTACTTTTTCAAAATAATTGTATAGGTGTCTGATTCTTTTTTGGTCATTTAGTGGCTCGAAACCTAGTAACACATGAAAATATTATAATGGTAAAACATACTAACCAAGAGGTGTTTTCGCTCTTTCACAAAATTAATTTACCATGGAAGTGATCAACTATAAACGACTCCTGGGATTTTTAACAATGTCATCATCTTTTACTTTGATGTATGATTAGTTAAAATTTTCAACCAAAAAGGTATTGTCTTTCTTTGCTCATATTTTGTTAATGTTAAATTGATACTTTTTTAATTTTCCTAGAATAATTAAGTCTTGGATCTAATATATTTCTAATGCTTAAACTTAGGAATTTTTCTATTCAAAAAAAAAAACTCAGGAATTTTTTTATATAAAAATAAAACCCCAATTTAGTCCCCATTATTGGAGGTTTGTGAAAATGTTTATATGAATTGGTTAATTTTTTTTATTTATGTTTTTGCTCCCTCTAAGACAGCATTCCGCATCGCCCCTGTTTGCTAGCCTCAATTCTTTTCTATCTAATGAGTAGAACCACTGAAATGTTCTCTTTGATGATTTTCAAAAGGCATCTTGCAAGGCAGGCCAATCTTCACAACTTCTGTTTATGTAATTATTGTGAATTCGCAGGGTGAAATTCATCATGTTTTAAATCCTAATCCATATCGCGGTGTCTTTGGCTCTGACGCCAGCCGTTACGCAAGTGATGTACAAGATCACATTGATCATGGTACTTCCGGAAAAGTTGCTGGTTTTATTGCTGAAACCATTCAGGTTGGTTGTAATTACTTATCTTTCAGGATCTGAAACTAGTGTTCATAACCGGAGTGATTTGGACATTGCTGATTTTACCTGAAATTCTTATGTTGACGATCTTCAGGGAGCTGGTGGTGCAGTTGAATTAGCCCCTGGATACTTGAAACTGGTCTATGAAATTGTGAGGAAAGCTGGTGGTGTCTGCATTGCCGACGAAGTGCAAACTGGATTTGGTCGGACAGGAAGCCATTACTGGGGTTTTGAAACACAGGGTGTCATTCCTGATATAGTTACCATGGCAAAGGTATTTGATATCATTCCCTTGCAATTTATTTTTTTTTCTCTTTTTATTGTTGCTTCTGGACTGGCATAAAGTAAAGAAAATTTACAAGTCCGTCCTGCTTTTCCCTGTGGATGAGTTTGTTTAGGAGGGAACTAATGGAAAGTGTGAGAATGGAAAAATATTATGACTTCGTGTAAGTTTGTTTAGCACGAAATACGGTGGAAAATGCAAGAAAGTATATTCCCGCACCTCTCAAATTTTCTTATAAATCACAAATTGGTTTCCTGAAAAGTCCACTGAGAATTTTCTTTCTTCATGCAAAACTGTAGGCTGCTGTCCATATATAACCCTTTTGCCCACAACTCTATGGCACTTCTCTTCTTGTGAAAAGTGTGGGCAATGCTGTAGCCTACACAATAAATTTGCAGAGTTAATAGCTATTCCTACCACTAAGCTAATAAGTGTTCCTGATGATCCATTAGCTGCAATGTAGGAAGGAAAAATATGGATATGAGATACGGGTACAATACGACATAGATACGGCGATACGACAAAAACTAAAAAAATAGGATACAGGTACGACTAGGATAGATCTATAATAAAATATATTTTATATTTTACTATTATTTAACAACTTAAAAATTTTAATTTTTAACAATTATTTAACAGTAGTAAGCAATATTAACAATTTTTACCTTGAAAAAGATGTAATATTGTCTCATTATCCATAAAGTGAACGTGACCAATTAAATGAATCAAAAACAACATTTAACTAGTTGGTTTGTTTAGAAGTATTTGTTTATAAGGTTATAGTGTAACTAATTCATTTTTTAATACTCTTTTAACATGTAATAGTAGATAATACTTAAAAAACGCTTGTGTCTTCAAACTCAAATGGAATATTAAGTATTGTATTAAAACTCAAAAAGAGAGGGTATAGATTAAAATTAAAAATTGTACATCTTTCTCCATGTGTAGAAGTATCTGTGAATTATTTACATATTTTATTAATTATCAGATACGTATGATGTGTATCCGATACATATACTCGAGTATCCAACGAGAATTATGTCGGATATGGGTACGTCAACCTTGATGACGTATTCGTGCTTCATAGGTTGCAACAGTGATGACAATGGCAATGGTAATGGTGACACATTGATGGCAACGAGCTCTAATTCGCTAGAGGCGATGACATAGAACAAGATAGAGGATATAGAGTAGAAGATAAAGGAGGTAGGGGAGCTGGCTTGAAGGTGAGGACGGAGAAGCCATTGGCCTTACCGGATGAGGAAGAGTGAGTTGGGTTTTATAGCCATGAGTTGGTATCTCCCAAGTCTTCTAGTGTGTCCAAAGAGAGAGAGAGAGAGGGGATTTGGGGGGGGGGGG